TTTCTACTGTTTCTGATATAGACAAGAATGTGTCGCCACAGAAGAGAACCCTCAAGTGTTTTTCTGCTGCTGTGAGGGGAACTATTGCAATGAAAAATTTACGCACTTACCTGAAGTAACTGGTCCAGAAGGTAAGTGACTCATTTTGGAAGAGGACAAAAAAATCTGTTCATAAACTTTGATCTCTAGTTTGTGATGATCTTGAATTGCTAGCTATTCAGAAAGCAAGAAATAAGAGGGTGCTTTCAGTTACAAATTTACTTTAGCAGGTAAATTGTTTTGTCGTATATATGCTTTAAAAAAATGGAATTATGCAGAAACCTGGTGTGTCGTGAGCAAGGGGAATGCTCGATACACAGATTGTTTAAAAAAGAAAGCCTAGTAAGAGAAGAGATAATATAGTTAAACTTTTGAAAGTATAGACAAACATTCCTTTTAATATGCTTAGTGTATTTTGCTCACTGGACAGATTATAAATAAATGTTTATGTATTTGTGGTGACTTCCAGCATTTGTGGGTACAGGTTGAATGAACCTCTCTACTCTGACATCCTTGGGATCTGACTGGTGCTGAACCAGAGAATTTTCTGGACCATGGAAGATCAATATTTTCTAGCAGCATTTCCAACACTTCCACTGCTGACTGGGCTCTTACAAGACATTTTGGGGTAAATTAGAGCTAAATAATAGCCCAGAACGCTGAAAGCCAGGACTGGTAGCTGTAAACAAACTTGATGGGACCACAGGAAACGTGGCCACACCCATGCTAAGTGGACATCTGGCTAACTAAAATCATGCCAGACCACGGATGTTGCGGACCAGGGTGTGCCAGACTAGAGAGGTTCAATCTGTGTAAGTTAAAGGGCAAGTAATAACAAGTTCTCGCTTATGGAAAAGTATTACAAGTTTTTCTATATGTGTCTTTTAAAACATCCTATACAATTTTAATAGATAAGATCTCTTTTTCTATAGGGTGTTTTCAAGGAATCTGTAGAAAGTGTCTTGTTCTGTTGTATAGGTTTTCAGAGTAATTTCTGTTGAATTTTACTAGGGGGCTACGCTCACCAACACCCCCCGCCCCCCTCGCTGGTTGCTTTTGCAGCCAGAGAGTCTGTTAATAGTGCACTGAGCCTGGCTGTGCTCTCCATGGCCCCAAGTTACTGGCACCCTTTTCCACTCCTGCCAACCACACCCCTGGATGGGCCCTTCTGTCCAAATGCTCTCAGCCCACCCCAACTGATTGTGTCCTTCAATCGCCAGCCAGTCCCCCCTGCCTGCACCCTTTCGGCTCCTGCCCCACCCACCATTAAAATAGTCCATTGCCCAAAGCCCACCCCCCTCCTTCCATCCCTGGCCCCACTTCCTTCCTCCATATTCTTACACCCCCATCCTTCCCTAATCCCTCCCGCTCCACACCCCCACTGCCCATCCCCCTGCCTCCATTCCTATATCACCCTCACCACCCCCCCATACCACACTACCCATCCCCACATACACTCTTATCCCCTTTCCTCCCTCCCTACGCACACCCTGCCTCCTCCCATGAACAGGCAACCTAACCCGCGAAGAAACGGCACCAGGCCCATATGCAGGAATTTCGGGGAGGGGGGTGCTGTGATGGCAGGATCTGTGCAGCTGTCTGGAGAGAGGGGGCAGCAAAGGTGGCATGCAGGAGTGCTGTGAAGTGGGAAAGGGGGATGTCTGTGGGCAGTGGAAATGGAAAGGAGGCAGAGAAAGAGGCTGGAGGGAGGGTCAGAGAGCAGGGGTTCCTTTGGGATGCCAGGTTGAGAAGGGGGGAAGGGAGTCTGTAAGCGGGCAGGAGAGGGGCTGAGGACGCACATGAGGGGTAGAAAGAGGGACGGGGAGCTATGCAGTGAGAGGGGGTCTCTGGGCGCCACCATGCAGAGGCAGCGCTCCCCCACTAGCTTTCCCCCACTCGGCTGTGTTGGCAGCCGCTCCAAATGCTGCTGGGACTCCCCTTTGTCTTGGGGTTGCTGGACTGCAGCAGCAGTTTCCAACAGGGCAGCTCGATGCTGATGTGGCCGCTTGGGGAGCGGCAGGCAGTCGGGGACACTGAGCCTGCCTCCGTTCATAGCACGAGTGGGCCGTGCCTCAGGCTTTGCACCCGCTGAAGCAACCCCCTGGGCCGGGGGCCTGAGAACCCCTGCCTGGGAGGAGCACGGCCTTGCAGCCCCCATTCCCAGGCAGTGAGCCAAAGCTCAGCCCACCCTACGCGCACGGTCGAGCACCGCTGCCAGAATGAGAAATGGTGCAGTGGTTGCTTCCCCCAAGCAGGGGGCCACTGGTGCTGGCTTGATGCACAGCCAATGCTCCCCTTAGCCACCAGACCCCACACCACTTCTCCTGGCGCCTCAGGCTGACAAGAAGGTCCCCAACGTCCTCAGGTCCCACCGCCCCAGAGTCTCTACTTGGGGTCTCCCTCATGAGCAATGGCGGCGATGCTGCCACAGCCCCGTTCCTTATGGCAGGCTATTCCCGAGTGGTGCCCGGGCCCTGGATGGAATCACTCCCTGCCCTGGACACTGTTCAGGGACCGGCAAAGCCGCCTGGCAGCCCGCAGATTCTGCCTCCCAAGTGTCCTGTCCGCTCAGCTCTGGCTGCGGCCTTTTGGGAAGCGGAATCTGCCCAGGCCAGGCTGCCAGGCAGCTTTGTCATCCCCGAACAGTGTCTGGGGCAGGGAGGGCGGAGCCTGCGGGACGCAGAGTGACGTGACACTCTGTTGTCCTGCAGGAAAAACTTTTTTTTATATATAGAGAGATTAGAACCTTATTAAATTTTCCAGGATTTTAAGAAAAAGTTATTGATTGCATATTTTTATTACCTACTGTTTTTAAAAATACCCTTCATAATCTCATACTAACAAAATAAGCCTTTCCTTACTAGCTTTTTGCTTAATTTGGCAAATACTGGCATTTTGTCCTTTCCTCGTCCATGTCTCCAATGAAACAATATGGCTCCTTGTAGACTTTCCATTCTTTTTTCATCAGTTTCACTGAGGTGGAGACAATATATTTGCTGACGGCTTCTGCAATATTTTATTTTAAACTGACATCTTATTGCCACCCCTGGAGAACCTTTCTCTTTGGTAGCTAAAGGCAGTGGTGGGGAAGGGTCTTTGCCTTCCGTGCCTATGTTAACACCCTTTCATGTTAAGAGCTGGCAAGTACATAGACTTAAACTCTACTAAGCAATTTCCTGCTTTACTTGGATCTATGGAACTTGTTTGGGGAAATTCTGGTGTGGTATTTTAGCGCATGCGGGGCTAGATCTTAACTAGTAAATTGATCATTACAAGAGTCATTCAGCAAATGTTGTCCGCTAAGGAGCTGGGGGAGGGCAAATGCTTGTGCATGTCTGGAACTACAGCCACCAATCCCGTTACAAAAACAGAGAATCCTAGTTCACTTACTATTCCCCTCCCTCTTACAGTAATATATGAGCCACCACCACCGACACCCTCACTACTCAACATTCTGGTTTACTCTCTGCTTCCAATTGCTGTTCTGTCAATGGCCATTCTCTTGGCCTTCTGGATGTACCGTCACCGAAAGCCCCCCTACGGGCATGTGGACATTAATGAGGTAAGTCAGAAGCCTGATACCGTGAAAACTAAAGGGCAACAATTGACGTTTTTCTCTTTTGTAAACTTTGTTCCACTAAGTTTACCAGGTGGTTATGAAAGAACAGAAGCTGTTGAGTTTTGAGGATTTGTCTTATGATGGCATATTAATGGAAGATGGCAGAACTTTGCTTTGTTAAATTTTTAAACAAATGTTGCAGTGCCATGCTAGAATTCATCATATCTGTCTTAGCACATGCTGTAAGAACCTAATGTTTTTATATAGAGTAAAGTTAAAAAGAAATCTTATGGCCTAATTTTAGTTTGCCTAACTCCTTTTTTTTTTTTTTTTTATTCCTGCGTGGCTAGTCCGAGCCTATGTCATATGAGCTTTTCCAACATGGAAGATAGATTGGGTTGGAAGAAGACTACTACTCTTCTACCTGAAGCTAATTATATTCTAAATAGCATCTTTCATGAAAACACTAAGTTTATACAGATATTATTTTTATAGAAGCCTGTTGAGACTTATAGACTGCAAACCTGCTTACTTGCAGTTCATTAGAATGGTGTGAAATATTCATAATGAAGTGGAAAACTATTTGAAATTAATTCTAAGTGTACTTTACTTTGCGCTTTTTAATTTTTTTTTACAAAACTGAAGGTTGCATTTTTTTTGCAGGAGATATCATTTAAGGGACAAATGTTTGTTTTCCAAATGAATGCAGCCTTTGCATTAAAGACAATAAAATTAAAGCTTTTGCCATGATTTGATTAAACAAGTAGTTTAACATTTCATATAAACCACATATGAAGGTGGAAAATACTACCAAATGGCAATGTTTCATGCAAAAGTTTTGTAAAACAAAATGGGAATTTCACACTGCTCTCCTACTAAGTCATAACTTGCTTTTGAACAATAAAATTTCTATCAGATTAAATTGTCCCTCTTGCTTGGTTATTTGACTTAAGTTTGTAACCCATATCTTTATTCTTGTTTTTGTTTTCTAGGACCCTGGGCCACCACCCCCTTCTCCGCTGGTTGGCCTTAAGCCTTTGCAGTTACTGGAGATCAAAGCTAGGGGGCGCTTTGGCTGTGTCTGGAAGGCTCAGCTGATGAATGACTATGTAGCAGTGAAAATCTTTCCCATACAGGTGAGAGAAATTCAAGGGCCTCCAATGCCTTTCAGTAGCAAATGCCACTTGAGGCGGTTGCTGTTTGAAACTGGACAGATGATCCCATTTTGAAATCCACCAGGTATTTTAACTTTGGTCCAAGTATTCGGAGTTGTACAAATTCAAGTGAGGCAGCACGTAGTTCAATACCCAAAGAGTTATTAATCCTACATCTTGCATGACTGTTGCCTAGGCACACTCTGAATCCAGCCCTGACCTAACAAGTAATTTGCAGCTCACAAAGCCACAGTCCTAATGGAGTGAAGACTAATTGCACAGGAACATTACTGTGCTGATTACATTGTATCTTTCACTTTGAACATCCAAAGCTCTGTAAGAATTGCAAACAGAAAGACCAAACAATCAAACATGTCCACTTGAAGAAAAATAATTGAAAAAAAGTCCGAGTGTTCCTCACCAAAGGCCTTCTTGTTTAATCCTCCTCTTCCTTGTGCTTTTCATTGTGACTTTATAGAAGGAGATTTCCATATCCTCTCTTCAGACCAGCAGTGGATAAACTAGTTGGGCACTGACACAATCCCTTCTGGTTTATGATGATCTTAACAGTTACAGCTAAAATAGAAATCTAGGTAGTATTCGTTCTTTTATTTGCTTTTACAGAAATTGTAGCTGCTTTTTTTTTTTTTTTTTTTTTTTTTTTTTTTTTTTTTTTTTTTTTTTTTTTTTTTTTTTTTTTTTTTTTTGAGTTGTCAGATTTTTTTTTTTTAAGGCTACAGAAATATCTGAGGGTGGTTTGAATGCAAAAATGTCTTCTGCCCCTCTGGCTTCTAGACCTTTGGGAAACTGCCTAATTTTTAAGGCATTTGTACTTCTTTTTCATGATGGCTGAGAGTGACTTTCAGAGGAGCATCAGCAATGCACTGTCATGGCAGCTATTTGCTTGAAATGGAGGGTTTAATTTAGAAGTGGTCTTCGATCATTTTTCCTTCTTCTTTAGGATAAACAATCCTGGCAGAGCGAGAGAGAAATCTTCAGCACCCCTGGCATGAAGCATGAAAACCTTTTGCAGTTTATTGCAGCAGAGAAGCGAGGAACAAACCTGGAGATGGAACTATGGCTGATCACAGCTTTCCATGACAAGGTACAGTATACCCACATCTCCATTTGAGGGGTGCTAAAGGGACTGATGCTTGTTAGGCAGCTATGCAGGATTTAGAATGAGTGTTTTCCATTTTAACAACCCCTTTGGAATGTCATGTTCCACATATAGCTATTTTCAGAGTGTATCCCACTTCTCAGTAGTGAGCTTATTCAGTTTGCTGTTTTCTTTCAACTAAGAGTTGGTTAAAGATTTCTCAGAAAAATTGTGAGCTTTAGAAAATCAATCTGTTGTGGTGGACAGGAGGAGAAGTGGAAAAGACCATTGCAGAGCCCACAGCACATGTAACCGCTGAGATTTTCAGCAGTTACACGGTTACCCTTTTACATAATTTTTAACATCTCTTTGCACTTGCAAGCAGTAGTAACCTTGCACCTGTGTAGGTAAATCCGAGAGAGAGCATTCAGACCTGACAGACTGTCCCAGTCCTTCCTCTTCATTTTCAAACAGGCTCTGTGTTTACTTAAAACTTACAGCCATAGCTCTGTTTAATGGGTTGCTTTAGTTATCAAATATAACTAACATTTAAAATAAAACAAACCTGCACAAATCCAGGTTTGAGCTGTGATGATATCCCTGTATTTAATCTCAGGTTCATGGAGCCAATCATTTCCATAGTCAGGTGATGGAATGTAAGATCTTTTTTTCCATTTATGGCTTTCACCTTCTTGTATAATTGCTCCAGTTTTTCTTTGAAGTAGCTAGACTTAGTAAAACAATTTTTAAAAATCAATTTTTTATTTCAAATACTCTAAATCCATGCATTGCAATAAGTCCAGGAAAGTGATAGTATTTCACTGACATTCTTCCCTTTTTCTTTTTTTTGTTTTGTTCTTTGCAAGTGGATTTTTCTGTCAAATCAAAGTTCAAACTTCTCAAGCACTCATTAAAACCGTTCTCTAAACTGATGATTTGGCACAACTGTCACTCACCAAGGTCTGTGATTAACTTCTAAGAATATATGACATCCTATTTCTTAGGGCTCGCTGACAGATTACCTGAAGGGGAATATTATCAGCTGGAATGAACTCTGCCATGTTGCGGAAACAATGGCCCGTGGACTTTCCTACCTACATGAAGATGTTCCCTGGTGTAAGGGGGAAGGACACAAACCTGCTATAGCACATAGGTAAATAATGTATGTTTTTGCATAACTGTGCTTCTTCAGCTTGTGACCTGAAGAGTTCCATGAAACTTGAAAGGTTGGACCTTGCACTAGCAGAAGTTCATAGTGTCATAGAATCATAGAACACTAGAACTGGAAAGGACCTTAAGAGATCATCAAGTCCAGTCCCCTGCCCTCACGGCTGGTCCAATAAAAGCTTGCCCACCTTGTCTTTCTAAAATACATGACCCTCTGATGACAGTTTTGTTGAATGGAGGGAGGGAGGAGAGCTTGCTTTTATGTCATGCCTTTCATCCTAAAGTATTTTGCAAGAGATACACATACAGTAATAGCCAGATAAGTAATCAGCCCTGGAGAAGAAAGGCACTTAGGCCAAAAACACAGGGGGGGAAAAAACCTCCTCTGATCCACTGATGATGCCAAGTGATGTTTAATGTCCAGGTAGAGCAGGCAGGATATTGATTTAGTCCTTCTCCAAAGGACCTTCACATTGGAATCCTGTGTCCAGTTCTGGTGTTTGCAATTCAAGAAGGATGTTGGTAAATTGGAGAGGGTTCAGAAGAGGGCTGCAAAAATGATTGAAGGATGGGAAAATAAGCTTTATAAAAATAGATTCAAAGAGCTCAATTTGCTTATTTTAAATAAGGGAAGGTTTTAAGTAGGGATGTTTGAGTGGACAACTATGTGTTTAACCGATAAGCAGTCTCTATGGGTTATCGCTTATCAGTTAATGGTGTTGGTTCCACTCAGCGAAGCAGCCTCCCTAGGAGCCCGGCAGGCAAGAGCTGGTGGCTCCCCTCCCTGGAAGGCTTTGCTGCGGGACACAGAACATAAGCTTTGTTCTGCAGAGCCTGCAGCATGGGTAACTCTGTAACCACTGAGATTGTCAGCGCCTACATGGTTCCCTTATTACAGGATTTTTAACATCCCTTTTAAAAGTAGGGGTACCCCTGGATCACAATCTGTAAGTATATACTTGGAGAGTAGAAATTTGGTAGAGGATTTTCAGGCTAGCAGGCACAAGTATAACAAGATCTGGAAGTTGAATTTAGAATAATTTAGAGTAGAAATAAGGTGGAAATTTCTAACAGAAAAGGTAATTAACCAATAGAGCAGTTTGCCAACTGCTGTGGTAGATTCTCTATCTCTCTGGCAATTTTTAAATTAAGATTGGATGTGTGTTAAAAGATCTGCTCTAATTTAAATAGGAATTGATTCAGGGAAATCCTGTGCTCTACAGGAGGTTAGACTAGATGATGAAAACTGTCCCTCCTGGCATTATAATCTGAATAAATTGTATGGTAATTTGTATATTCTGTCTGTTGACTTGGCTATGCAAACTTGATGATGCTTAGTCTTTAATTCCATCCTCTTAAGCTGAGCTTTTGTTCAGAAGGAAAGAATAAGTGAAAAACAAAATGGTTGCTGTTTGTTACTCAATATTTTATAGCACACAGCTTGCCATGAGCTGTACAAAAGATTCAAAAAAGATCTCTGCCCCAAAGAGCTTACAGTACATTTTAAACGTGGTACAGATTAGAATGGCATAGTGAATGGAGTGCAGAAGGATGAAGGTTATGGCAACAGTTGGATACTCACTTGGTAGATCTGCATGCTGTGATGGTTCTATATAGCTTGTTCTAAAATAACTATAGATAGTCTTGCTCTAGTTTTCAGGGAGGATTCAAATCAGGTGAAAGGCTATATATATATATATGGCAGTCCCTGGACACACGCCTTCATCCACTGCACTGCAGGTTAGCTTGGGCTGAAACATGAAGTTCCGTTACAGTAGTCTGTATCTGATACAGTGAAACTGATTTTTTACATAGGAAAAATGAAATCTCTTTTATAACAAGTGTTTTATGTTCAGTGGCTGTATGTGTGCGCCTGCCCCTCCAAAACACTAAGGGAATTCTGAGAGCAGTAGTCTTGTGCAAGAGCCTGCAGCTGCATTTCAATTGCTTGTGGGGGGAATGCTGCCTCCTTGACACTTGCCCCTGTATAATAAATGCAGTGATTTATATGTGAAATTCCTAAGGGTGGGGCAGGGGAAAAGCCATACAAAAGTCTTGAAGTTGTGGACCATGGTAATTAGTGTCACAATAGATTTAGCAAATGATGCAGGGGAGGAAACGGGGAAGAATTCATTCCCCATCTGTGAATTTAGCATCTATGGAGCATGTTTCAGGGTAGGGGCTGTATTTCACTGGCTTTCCCTGTGTAACAGAAATCTGAGCAAATAGGTTTAAAGTTGGGTGATACTTTGGAATAGCACAGGACAATGCACTGATAACATGCTTGAATTCTCAGTTAAGTCTGAGTGAGTTACTGCCATAAAAAGCTTCAGCTAATTCCTTAACACCATTGGCCTCTGGCACAAAAGGAGGATTAATGTTGCAATTATTACAATCCTTACTTGGCAATGCAATAGTGCCCCCTAGTGGACATTTCAAATAAGATCATTTGTATATAAATCAGTGGAATCCAAGACTTTATAGCCGTGGTGCCCAACCAGTTCTGAAGCAATAGCCGCTATAGTGTCCACTGCTATAGCGAACTAGCCACACTCAACCAGCCAAATAGCCACATGTGGCTAGTATGTTGGACACCATGACTCCATCAGGATATATAGGCGAGTTGCCATAGTTACTTCGGCCTGAGGCTGATTATTAGAGCAGCGGTTCTCAACCATAGGACTCTGGCCCTATGGGTGGCCATGGCAGGTTTCAGGGGATCTGCCAAGCAGGAGGGCTGGGGCTCAGGGCAGACAGGTGAAATTGTGCTGTGCAATGCTGAACCTTGGGGCCCCAAGCCCTGCACCCTTGGGCTGAAGCCAAATCCTGAGCTTCCTACAGCCCTGCTTGCCTCTCTGTTGTGGTTTTTTTGGGTTTTTTTAATACAGAAAAACAGTTGTTGTAGCCCAGATAGGCTGTCGAATTTTTATAACATGTGGAGGTGCCTCCCGAGTGCCTGCCTGGAATATGCCTCAGCCTTTCTGGTTTTTCTTTAGTGTTTAGATACCTAGTCTAGTATTTGTTAGTGACATTGGAGTGAGTGAGTTTGTGTAAGTAGTGAGAAGATTGCTTTGTTCTGCTCTTAAAAAACAAAGTCAGTCTGAGAGATTTGTTTCCCTAGTGGGGCATTCCTAGCCTGCCAGGCTTCAAACGCTGCCTTTCTGTTGAAAGGCTGTCCCTGTAACTGATGGCCATGCTAAGTACGTCCATTGGCACGAATGGGGGGTCCCATGAACCGTGCCGAGACCAGGTTCAGATCCCACTGTGGGAGAAGGCCTCTGGTCTGGGGGTAGAGCCATTCCACCCCTCAGGAACTAGGAGGTGACATCATGGGAGGCTACAGATTGTCCTTGCAGGAGCAGATGAAATGTGGGAATGGCTGCCAGTGGGACTCGAATGGTGTCCAAGGCAAGACCTTGTTGCTTCAGGTGAAGCAGGTATCCAAGATTTCCTGAAGGGAAGTCTCGGACGAGGGTTCCCTTTAAGCTCCGCACTTGCTCAGGTGTGCTGAAAAAATGTCCACCCCGCCCACCTCCTATGCATAGCTGCATGGCGGGCATCAGGTGGCTGCTCCAGTGCATGACAGATGGTGGCTTCAGCAGCCAGGGCCGGAGGAGCCATGAGGTGGGTGGCCATTCTGGCAGCCAGGGCCAGAGGAGCCGAGAGGTGTGAGGCAGGCGGCAGGAAGCCACTTCAGGGGCCGGAGCCACCGCCGCTTCATGGGAGCCCAGGCGGGAGAGTGGTGGGGCAGCTACTGGGATCAGTACCTGCGGGGGAGGCAGTGGGGCTAAGGATAGTGGGGGCCCAGCACTGAAGCTAGCCGGTTGCAGGGCAAAGGCATCAGCTATCTGGGGTAGTGGGAAGTACTGGGCGCAGATAGATTCTGGGAAGTGGGGGAGAGAGGGTGAGGTGAAGGGTCAGATACAGGTCTCTAGGCAATGTGAGGGGGCAGGCAGGCAAGATGCGGGACCAGGCACAGGTCTGTGGGCAATGGGGGCGGGAGGAGAGAAACAGGCGAGGTGTGGGACTGGGCATATGTGTCTGGGAGATGTGGGGGGGGGGGGGGGGAACAGGGGAGATGTGGGGTTGGGCACAGGTCATAGAATCATAGAATAATAGGACTGGAAGGGACCTCGAGAGGTCATCGAGTCCAGCCCCCCGCCCTCAAGGCAGGATCAAGCTCCGTCTACACCATCCCTTTGGGCAGTGGTGCTTGGGCTGTGGGCCTTAGGCTCAGGTACCAGCTGTTCATGTTTGGAGGCAGATAGCATGGCTCTGGCATTTATACTAGTGGCACATGGCAGGCAAATTGCAAGTCTGATCACAACTACAGGGTGTGGGGGGATAGGCAGTTAGCCCAGGCCTATACAGGTACCAGCTGGCGCTCTGTGGTCCTGATGATCACTACAGACAAGTGGGTCTTAGAGGTCATTACATCAGGATATACTATCCAGTTTACATCCCTCCCTCCCTCCCTCACCACCCTTCCCTGTCCCTCTTCATGGATCTCTTCTACCAACTTGTGTTGAGACAACAGATGGATTTTCATCTCTAGCTAGGAACAACAGAACCAGTTTCTTCCCCTCATTGGGGCAGGATTCTACTCAGTTATTTCCTGAGCCCAAAGGAGGCCAGAGGATGGAGGCTATTCTTAGATCCTAGACTTAAACAAGACTTCAAAGCCTCAAAAGTTCAGGATGGTGACCATGGTAACTATAATTCCCTTACCAGAGGAAAGACTTGGCTTTTGGTCTTTGGCCTGACAGATGCCTGTTTTCATAAATCGATACACCCATCACACATCACAGTACCGTCACAATTCAGGGCAGATGGACATCCCAAGAAATTAGTCTACACGTCAGTCCATTGGCATTCACATCTATCAGGAACACTTGCCATTATTTCCTGCTCCTCATAAAGGACAAAACAATTAGGGCCATGTCAGACAACATGCTCTGCATGTTCAGTATCATCAAGCAGGCTGTT